ATAGTTCACCACAGAAGCATAGAGTACAGCTACAACTAAATCTTTTTGGACATTCAAAAATTTTCAATGATTGGCAGGAAGGAGAAGGAAAATCTACAATCAGTAAAGCACAATTCTTTCCATGAATAACAAGATAGCCAGCAAGAACAAAAACAGAAACATTGCTCAATAACTTAAAACACTTGAAAGGTGAATGTGCAGATGAGGCTTGCGCAACTCCTCTTCCTCCACTTCTTTTTAAATTTATTTTTGATTCAATCTTCCACAGATATTTTTTCTCCTTCTGTTAAAGTGTGAGAGCTGAAGCAAATCCATGCAAACATTATTTATATGTTAATCATTGCGAAAGATCATAGAAGCCTCTAGATAATCATTCAGTTCTCTGAATTAGGGAATCTGTAGTCAATCAACATGGGTTTTTATTCAATATAGTGCTAAAGAAGATATTCTTTTTAGCAGTTCTTTGACATTTAAACACTGAAAGAGTGAAAGAAGGAACAGATGATCACCTTCTTTCAGTGCATCACAAACTTCTTCAGTTGTCACGTTTAAGGCTTTAAGAAGAATAGATAAATTTTGGGCCTTCTTCTGGTCAATGATTTGAATATATAGATTGGAAGGATCTTGGGAGGAGTCCTTCTTTGACCCATTCTTCTTTTTTTCAGCAGAGGCAAATCCAAATAGAGTCTCTATCTGCTCTTCATCAAACCTGTTACAAGTATATTCACTGTCAATTGAACTCCTTCCTATATTAAAATGATTTAAAGCTGCATAAAGCAAGAAATGATGGACTTACTGGAAAGATCCTGCCTTGACATGATGCCAAACCATTGATTGGTCAGTGTTGGCTTGAACCTTATCCCAGAAGAAGGGCTTAAGCTTAGTTTTGGGATCGGTATCTTCTTCCTCAGTTGAAGCACTTGTGGATGCATTTGGTCCAAGAGGTGAAATTCGAGGTGGTTTCAAGCCCATGGAAGGTGGCCGAGGTGGTGCTCGAGGACCAGGCTTCATAGGTGGTGGTGGAGGAGGTCCAGCTTTAGGAGGACTTGGGCCAACAGACGAAGGCTTTCCTGGTGGTGGAGGTGGTGCAGCAGGTGCAGGAGTTGTTGGCTTTGCAGGAGGCGGAGGTGCAGGTGGGGCAGGAGCTTCAGAGGGAACCGCCCTACCAGGGGGAGGTTTCAGTGGAGGCATTCCAGCTGGTCCTGTCCTTCGAATCTCAATTTTAGAATCATCATTGGGATTGTTATTGAATGAATGATTTCCAGCATTATTGAATGAAGATCCTAAAGCAGATGACTTATGTGATGAGTAGTCACTCGAGCTTAAGCTAAGAAGAGGTCTCTCATCATTCAACCCCTTTTTGGATCTCCTACAGCACTTACAACAACAGCATATGCATAGAAGTGCTATGAGAAAGGATATGGCGGCAGCAGCGGCTATAATAGGAACTCCAACAGTGTTTGTTTTCTTACTGTCTTTAGCTGCGGATTTCTTTTTTGAGTTTTTGTCGTCTCGTGATTTAGCTGGCTTTGACTTAGGAGGGGCAGGAGGAGGATTAGGTGCTGCTTTCAATATGCGTCGTTTAGGAGCTCCGTGCCAGGAGGAGAGAAACTCTGCACACCTGGCATACCAATTTGGCGAGCCCTTCTCCTCTCCACACATAAGAAACAAGAGATTTTTTTCCCTCAAACAACCTAGAAGAGCTTGCTTAACCAGCGGATGCAAGTCACCGATATGCTTATGTTTTTCTGAGCTACTTTTAAGGACTTCGTCTCTCACACTTAAAACTTCTCCCGTGACATAATACTTGAGATCTTCAACAGCTTTATTAGCACGTGTTAACTCTATCCTACAGTTCAACCACAATAGCTCAACCTGCAAGAGAAGATTTTATCAAACTTTCTCATGAATTTCTCATTCTCAAGCATGTTCAAATCAAATCAGTATTAACATCTCACAATAATTAATTCCAGGAGAGTCATAGGTGGAGCTTCTTTTTTTTAAGAAAGCAAAGCCGTGAAAAAACGCAATTGAAAAGGCTATAGTGATATGGAACTGTTCAGCCTGATTGATTTTGACTTTCATCTTTGAAGGCTTTACTTGGGGTTCTCTTTCTCAATTATAAATCATAGGGTGGAGATGAATTATTTTTCGTTATGGCACTTGTCACTAAGTGTTTCTGCTTTGGTATTGAAGATATCAATTAGTGCGTAAATATTCAGGCCCAATCTATAATGCAAACTCAAGGGTGGTATATCTAGCTTGTACCAGTAGCACAAGGGCACGTCTATGCTTTACATGGGTGCACTGTTAACTATATCTTAATTTCTACCAGTTTTTCAAAATAGATATACATATATACATATGCTTTTTTTCAGAAGTTAGCAGATGCACGTGCACCCCCTCTCCATAGTGTGGGTCCGCCTCTGCATAGGTTGTTCTAGCACAAGCAAAGAGTTGTTGTCTCTGATTAATCGACACTACTCCACAACAGCATATAATCATTCCACAACAAAAGAAACTAAATATGGCGATTAAGAAACATATACTCCCCCTTTATCACAAACCCCTACAACTACATATTCATCGAAGACAAGGGCACAAGTAATGTTCAATTAAGTAACTCAAAATTCTTCAAACAAACATTTGAAAAAGACAATAGAAAAGTGTGGTACCATGTCCCTATTAATCTCAGGAGAGTTGATGAGATTGTCAAGTAAATGATCATCTGAGTCCTTGTTGCTTCCAAGCACTGCTACCAAAAGCATAAAGAAGAACACAAAGAAATGAACTACTACTCCTCTCACACCCATTTGCCCTTGAATCAGCATCAAAGAAGTAGAAAATGCTTTTCATTAGATAAACCCCACAAACCCCTTTATGCCTCAAATCCACAAAGGGCACACAAAAAGATCAAAATTTTTTCTGCATTTAACCTCCCAACTCTAAATGGGTCTTCAAAAAAAACAATATATCCACTTCCAAATGCCTTACTCACAACAAATCTTTGAAACCCACCTCCAAATTTCATGCAAAAAAAACTTAATTACACTGACATCAAACACCATAAATCGAAAAAAAAAAAAAAAACTCTTCTTCGGCAATAATCGAATCAAAAACTCGACAAATCAAACCCACCTCCAAAAATTGTAAAATCAATGAATCACAATCTACAATGTCATTCAAAAATCAAAACCTAGGCCCCGCACCCAAAAAAAAATTATATAATTTTTTTTTTCAGTTGGGGTTTTTGTATGCAACGAGATCAAGCAAAATAATGCTCAAATACAAATAATCATACAAGGATTGAGTGCGGGTCAAGGAGGGGCATGAAATTGACCCGAAATAAATCTTTGAGCAGAAAGTGAATTTGTTTTTGCTGTGTGTGTATGTATAGCTAGCAAAATCTACCAATCGTTTATGACATTTTTGTTGCTCTCTGTAATTCTACGTAATTTTGTTTAATCCATTTCTTTGAATTTCCCATACAATAGAAACCGAAAATGGCGCTCAAGAGATGCATGCATGGCATCTCAGGGGTGGTCCGTTCATTATATGGCGTTATATATGGTAATTTGCATCATATGTGACGTCTTATATGTATTATGTCACGTAGGATGTATAGGATATATATGTTCACTTATTCAATTTTAAATTTATTATACAGACTCAAAATTGAATGACAGAAATATTAACTAAAATCTCTAAGTTAAGAACATGTTTATATATCTCGCTAGAATAATATATACATAGGTTTTTTATAACTCAATTGTGACACACTGGCCAAATCTACATCCACACAACATGATAGATGTGTTTGGTATACAAAAAAAAAAATCATAAATTTCAGTAACACACCATTAAAATGGTGTTAGACTAGGCTTAAAGCAGACAATATTCATAGTGTTGGAATGAGCTATTAGAGAAGGTAGAGTTACTCATGAACATGCAATTTTGGGCAATGATGGGTAAACCTCAACGTTCACCTGAGTTTAAGCAAATTCCACCTTCTTAAGTAGATTGTCTTTAAGGGTGTAAGTAACAACTTAGCTAAATCTCATGTCGACAAAATACATGAGAGATGATGATAAATATAAGAAAAGAAGCCTTCAACCTTATTGACGTGTGTTAAAGTGGTATCGGCATAGGCACAAAGCGAACACTATTATCATTAAGATTTAAGAGAATTGTGTTGTTACATGAGGTTAACTAATTTGAAAATTGAGAGTAATTTATAAAAGTGCCTTTTTGTTTTCAGTATTCAAAAGGAGTACTGGATTCCAACCTGCTATGGCCATGAATTTTTTCAATATGAATCTGACAGATTCCATCTGCTTATTTTTTTGCCTTTAGTGGATATGCAGAAATAATGCCATTTGGTTAAAGCTAATTTAATTCCACAAATGAAGAAATATCAAAAAAAGTAGAAAGAAAAAATTGGTGACACTAATCATCATCATCATCAGCAGATAATGCACTTTTAAGTATTCCTTTCACACTTCTCTTCATTACTAGAATTACATTTGTATCAAAATAATATATGAAATTACCTATTTCATATAGAATGTGAGGTTATAATTTTAAGATAAACTTATTTCGAATCAAACGACGCCTTATATGACAAACAGTTGGTTATCTCAAGTGGTTGAGTCAGAATTTTCACTAAGAAATTTAAAATATGAAGTAGTTGGTTGCGGTAAATGAGGAAGAAGCCCAAAGGAGTTTAACGGTATAATTTTCCGTTCCGAACCCCCTCCAGTCCTACCTGACTCCGACCTGCGGCTCAATTCAACAACAACCGTTGATTTATTGTGGTGTACCACAAGTAATTTTCTCATACTTTTTTTTTTTTTTGTATATAAAAGAGAAAAAAATCTAGAAAAGAAATATATTCTCTTATCTTTACAGCACATTTTTTCAAATATTCCATAAGAATTTGTTCTCTTCTTTGATTATTTGAACCACTAGAATTAGTATTAGAGAAATTCAAGTCACAAATTCTCATCCACCATTATTCAAATTTCCTATTTTCGATTTTTTCATCGTTGAAATTTAATTCAATGACTAGTTACAAACAACTTGAAGTTCAATTTGAAGAACCAAATCCAAAAAAATGGTGTGTTCCATTAAAAGAAGATGTGTTTGTGAAATTCATGAACAAAGGGAATTTTATAACACATAAGGCTTTGTGTGAAGGTTCACTTTTTAGTCCACTTTTGTTTGGCAAATTTTTTGATCCTTCTGATGCATTTCCACTATGGGAATTTGATTCAGATGTGTTATTATCCAATGCAAAAAGTTCCAATAATAATCAGTACAAAGTTGATTGGATTCAAACAGAGACAGATTATGTGTTGAAAACAGAAATTCCAGGTGAGTAAAGAGATCTACTTAATTTACTTGAGTTTTGTGTTGTTTTGTATACAAACGGATTCAAGATTTGAATTTTATGGATTCTGAATTTTATGCGCCTGATTTTACTTTAATGTCATAGAAGCTTCTATGATATTAAAGAAATTTAACAATTTATGTGTATACAAAAAAATATTTGTTTTACTCTATTTGCATAATATAATTTTTGTGCGAAAAATATTTTCACCGTCATGTCTGCTTCATATGATCATAGTAGAATATGTTGTCCGAACTCTTCAGAGATATTGTTGTACACGTGTCTGATTTTTCAAAAATACAATCCAACATGCATTGGACAATTTTTTTGCACAAGTTCGATGAATATAAGTGCAACTACATATAGGATGCTTCTAGCGGTTAGAACCCTATACACTAGACCATGTAGGCTGTTGAATTGCCCTCGTGGTCAATTCAACGGCCTACAAGGAAATATACCTACAACTCCATTGGCAAATGTCCCGTGGGCCGCGGAGCTGCAACATGTTGTAGTTCTCTTGGCAGGCCATAAGCAGGGGTAGAGCTTCAGGTAGGATTGGTTCAGGTTTCCATTCATTAGAGGCGTATCTATGATGGATTTAACGTATTCAACTGAACTCATTGCTCTCAACTAAAAGTATTGTGTACATATGAAAAAAATGTCAAAAAGTATATACTCTTATTGTAAGACTTCTTATAGCTCCGCCCCTGATTTGCAATATTAACTCGATTAACACTATTGACATCTGTTGCAACAGGTGTTGGTAAAGGTATCATTTGTGTCTCCGTTGAGGATGGAAAAGTTTTAGAGGTAAGTGCCCAATTGAGGCTGAAAGTAGAGACAGGGACGAAGGACTGGAGAGCGGGAAATTGGTGGGAACACGGCTGTGTTCGGAGGATTGAGCTGCCTGAAAATGCAGACTGGAAGAAAACAGAGGCACTAATGAGTAATGGTGATCACAAATTCTTAGAAGTTAAAATTCCAAAGATCCCTCCAAATATTTGTGATGTACCTTGAGGGAAGCAACTATAAAAGGGGCAAATAAAGATTATTTCTAGCTTTTCTAACAGAGATGTATAAAATGTAATTGATATTTTGGAGGATTATATATTGATCAACAAAAGAAACTAAATAGTTAAATATAATGTATCATTTGGGAAGATATATATAGGAACATGCTTGACATATTATCATGTAGGATTAATACGTTTTACGAAAATTTTCATAGTTTAAGGCGTGTCAAGAACATTCTTCTTACGAATATTTTGTTAATGTAGGTAATTGGCTCAACAAAGCAATAGAACTCCCAGATACTGAATAAGTACCACAAGGAGTCAATTGATATGTCATGTCACTATGATACAAACTTGTCATTTGTTCGTAAAAATAATTGAATTGTTGATAACAAGAATGGTAGGACGCTAAAGAGTTGGTTATGAGACTAGTAAAATTAGGTAATCGGTCAAGTAATTCACATGCATGATAATAGAGTATTTCAATTCTAGTATGTATTTATTCACTTGTATTAAAGGGAGAAGAATGTGAAGATAGGAGGGAATTTGAAACCTAATTCTGCTTCGATTCTTCGAAAAAAAGCTTTGAAATATCTTCTCCTACCTTATGAAGTAATGGATCTTGACATTATTATGTTTATAAAAAGCGAAATAGTAATAAGGAGTTGCGGGAAAGTTCCCTACTCAAAAGAGCAGCAGCAACCTATGCTTGGATATAGTTTTCTCTGCAAGCACTGTTCACACATGGGGATGTAGCTCAGATGGTAGAGCGCTCGCTTAGCATGCGAGAGGTACGGGGATCGATACCCCGCATCTCCATCTTTTTCTTAATTAGTCCAACTTTAGTTTATCAACTCTTGTTTTTTTTTTCCATATGCTTAGACATACTAATATAATTATTATATTGTTGATGAAGCATGAAAATTTGCAATAAAATTGGAAAAATCTTACCCAATTTAGTTCATAATAATAAAAAAAAATTTATCTATATTGAGTGATTACATCAAATCAATAAATATATGACATGTGTTTGTAGTTTATAGAGTTTTAGTACTTGACCATACTTCATTAATATGCATACTCACCTAATCAAATCACTTAGCTAGAATAAATTTGTATGATTTGATATAAACAGTAAGTGCGAATACGTTTTTATTGTTATGAAACAAATTCAATAGGACCATTCTTATGTCAATGGAACCCAAATTGATAAATTTTCTTATCTACTTCACAACTTTTTTTTCTTTATTAGAAGTTACATTTTTAACGTAAATATTTAATCAAGGGTTAAACTAGAAGATAAGAAAGAGGTTAATTAAGCAATGATTTCATTCTTTAATTAATCAATTCAAGAATTTTCTTTATTTATGCCTTAATTTTCTGGAAGGATAGTTTATAAATCTTAACTTCAAAATTTTCCTTTCAATAGTTTAAATAGTTGGTCAAAAACAACCTCATAAAATTGGTAGTTTCTTGTCAGGTCACAATTAAAAAGCATAAAGATTTGAAAAACTGAGAATTTAAATGCAACGACCAAACGTACCAAATCGCAAAAAATTCAAGACAACATAGTGATTTTTCAACCACTTTCAAAGTTCTATCGAAATGCACACGTAAAGGTGATAAAATTAGCTCATAAAAATATGACTCATCCAAAATCAGTGACAAAATTATGCACAATTTTACTTCCGATCTTAAATTGTGAAACTCGCCAACTTCATAACTTTGAATTAGTGTAATATGTACACAATCAATGACACGATCAAAAATTTTATTAAGGAGATTCGAAAAAATTCAACTTGTGATCTAAAGCAACTTTTGATCAAATATTGTCCTTTGATGTGCTCTTGTTTAATGGATATGTATATACAACTACTACTTTACTATGCCTATTTATGATCAAATTAAAAGTCGTGTTGAAAATTGATAACTTATAATTTAATGATCATTTCTTTTTATATTTGTGTCTATCTCAATTAATTCTACATAATTCTGTTCATCAAGACTAAGAAGAAATTACCATCTTGGATTTGAATCTAGTGATTTCTTGCAGGCCACCAACTTTAATTTGGACGTTCCGCTTCTATGTCTTATTCAGTTTCTTCTCTTGTTAATTAATTAGTTGAGAAGATATTATTTTAAGTCAACAATCTCATTTTCCAACAAATAATTCACATTCATGTCCGACTTAACAAATTAAAGATTTGCCACGTGTAACTTCAATTATTTGCCATTTGACCTTCAAAAAAAAAGGAAAAAAGATAAATATACCCTGAACTATCATAAATGGTATGCAGATACCCTCCGTCATACTTTTGGGTCATTGGTGTCCCTGCCATCCAAAAACTAGAGCGTATATGTCATTCCCTCGAACGAAAGACTAAATAGGGACATGTGGCACAATCTTATTTGTCGATCCGTATTTAATAAATGTCAGGTCGGTGGATAAGATTATGACATGTGTATGTCCGTTAGTATAAAGGTATATATGCTTTAGTTTTTGGACGACAGAGACACCAATGTCCCAAAAGTATAACGGAGGATATCTGCATCCATTTACGATAGTTCGAAGGTATATTTGTCCTTTTTTTCAAAAAAAAAAATACAAGAGTCAATGCCATCTAAAAAAAATTGTCATCTAATTTCCTTTTTTATTTTCACAAATTAAAATAGTCAATTCACATTTGGGAAAATGGGAGTACTTATACAATTTTCAAAGATATTACAAGGAGAACAAGAAAGAACCTATAAATAATAATAATACTGCATGCAGCTGGCAGTCCACAATTAATGTAACACACAATAGTGTCAGAGTTAATTTACGCACACCTCGACTAATTGCTTTCATGGGTACTTGTCACCTCTCAACGGAGCTAAAATAGATGAGAATAAAAGTAGTAATTTTTGTCTATGCTCTCAACTAGTAGTTGTTCTTTTTTTCTTGTCTTTGCTAGGATTTAAACATGCGTGAGACCTTACGATTCTAAACTCATTTCATTGATTTAATGTATTTTAAATTAGTTTCTTGACTTGAAAGCGACCTTTAACTTGACAAGCAAGCGTAAAATGACATACATGCAAAACCTTGCCAATATATGTTAGACTACAGTATTATGTACTGTTACATTAGCGTGAAAGGACTGTCATATATATTTACCAAAAAAGCCATAATATATGGAGGAGTAGTTATAGTATCATAACAACTATTTGTTTGATGATCACCACCAAAGGTTGTGGTCGAGTGATAAATAATATTCCTTCAATTTTAATAAGTAATCTCGAATTCGAGTCATATATGTATGAAACCACCTTTGATAGCTAGAAAGCTCTTTATCGAGCCCTAAAATGAAACTTCTTGACATGAATCTGAACTAGTCAGTGCCCGATTCGTATATACTATATGCAGGGGCGAAGCTAGGTGGGGCCGTTCATGAGTTCGAACGAACCCAGTAGCTTTTTCGTAGACCCGTACTAGAAAATTAAGTAAAAACTTGTGAACCCCTAAAAAAACTGATTGACAAGTCAATGATAAGGAAGGGAAAGAAAATTTAAAACCCTCAAACTCCTAATACTGACTCCGCCTCTGACTATATGCCAAAGCCATAATCTATGGAGAAGTAGTTATAGTATCAGGAGTTTTTTTGTTAAAAGAACATGGCCAATGCCCAATAGCATGTATTATTCTTTACGCTTTCAAGTTCCATATTTGATATTATCCTAATTAGGCAACTACATAAATTTAATATTGCCTGTTCAAGAAGCAATGAACAAATATAAGCCTATATTATATACAAACAAAATATATTTCCACTTCATATATTATTTAGTTAATTAACTCCCTAGTCGACATTTTAGTCTCTAGCCACGCACTATACCAAACAATTGCCCAATGCTCCATTTTGGTAACAAGCTAAGCATAGAAAAATTTAATGAATATGAAAAGAAGAGAGTTCATCAATAGGGTTGTTAAACAGACGGGTTGAACAAAATTTTAACATGGCAAAATATGTTGAGTTAATAAATCGCAGGTCATCAACTCATCTGAAGGTTACTTGTGCTGAGATAGACCGAGTAAAGATGATTGAGTTATATATGAGTCATAATCCAACATGCTCAAAGTTTTCATTTTTTTAATTACCATACAAAATTAATGAACATTATATCCTCTTTTTTTTTGTTAGTATGATTATATATATGACATATCAAAATAATAATAATAATAAGATTTCTCGTGTGCCAATCTAGGCTATACATATTTAGTCCAAATTACCCATCAATTAGATATGAGCTTAATTGTGTGGATTAAAATAGATTGATTTAATAAATAAACAGGTCATTAACCTAATCAAACTTAAATAAATTTGGCCGATTATGTTATTTTGGGCTAATTTTACCACCCCTCTATCAATAACATAATTTCCAGACTATAATTAATTAATTAATTAAATACTATTTTGACCTCCGCTCCCCAACAAGAAAAAAAAGATAAAACTATAATAAGGTGGATGAAATGGTGACACCTAAAAAAGGCAAGAAGTTAACATCACACCTTTGAAAAAAGGTCCCTCGTGGTTGTGCTCTTTTAATCTTAGGTGACAACTAGAAATAATATGTGATGAAAACTTTAAATAATTAAAAAGCCTATGTACATGACAGTCTTTTACACATTTTGTCATGTTAACTAAACACGTTAGGCATAAATTCAAAGTGTTGAGATTTTTTTTTTAATAGTAAAAGACTATCTAATTGTGAAAATAACACATGAATATGTTAGGCTAATGAAGAAGATCAAGGAAAGGTGTGTTGAAAAGGACTATAAGGATTAGTACAAAACACCAATAAGTGAAAAGATATATTACCAATGCTATCTTTATAGCTATTATTGGCATATTGAGAGAACTAGAAAAACAATATATTATAATTTGTATCCAATGGGGGGAAAAAGGTAAAAGGTTAGAATTGTATTCTTGACATACATAGGAAGCAAGATAAGGCAAAAGATCGATTCCATTTGTTTTTTTAACTCAAGTTACCTAAGCATATATAGACATTATATATTTTCTTAAAATTATTCAAATGTATGTCAAGTCGAAAATACTAGCTAGGTGTTTGATTATATCTGAATTACTTATAAATGACAGCTTCTTTGATCCTAGATGATCCAAATCGATTG